TAATAAGTTCTGGATTACCTCAGAACTTGTGGGGGGAAGCAATACTTTCTGCTAATTATATACTTAATAAAGTACTTCGAAAAAAAGTAAATCAAACACCTTATGAAATGTGGCATGGTAGAGTACCATCTTACAAATACTTAAAAGTGTGGGGGTGTTTGACTAAAGTAGCTATTCCTAATCCTTAAAATACTAAGATAGGTCCTAAGACCATTGATTGCATTTTCATTGGTTATGCTAAGAATAGTAGTGCATATCGGTTTTTGATTCATAAATCAGAACATACCGAAATGCATGTAAATACTATTATAGAATCGAGGAATGCATCTTTCTTTCAACATGTATTTCCAAATAAGACTGGACAAGAGACTAGTAACAATAAAAGATCTCATGATCAAGAACAAGAGTTAGATCAAAATGAGGAAGAGGAACCTAGGCGCAGTAAACGTGCTAGAACCTCAAAATCTTTTGGTCCAGATTTTCTAACATATTTGTTAGAAAATGAGCCTTTAACTTTTAAAGAGGCTATGTCCGGTCTTGAAGCTCCTTTATGGAAAGAAGCTGTCAACAGTGAAGTTGAATCCATCTTGCAAAATCACATTTGGGAATTAGTGGACTTGCCACTAGGTTGTAAACCTCTTGGGTACAAGTGGATTTTCAAAAGGAAAATAAAAGCAGATGGATCAATTGACAAATACAATGTAAGACTTGTGGTCAAAGGTTTTAGACAAAAAGAATGTCTTGATTACTTTGACACATACTCACCGGTTACTAGAATAACATCCATTAGAATGCTAATTGCCATTGTATCTCTATACAATCTAGAAATTCATCAAATGGATGTTAAAACCGCTTTCTTAAATGGTGAGTTAGAGGAAGAAATTTACATGGAACAACCAGAAGGGTTTTCTGTTCCAGGAAAAGAAAAGAAAGTGTGTAAATTGGTTAAATCATTATATGGTTTAAAACAAGCGCTAAAGCAATGGCATGAGAAATTTGACAAAGCAATGATGTCAAATGGATTTAAAATTAATGAGTGTGACAAATGTGTTTATATTAAAAACACAGACAAAGGTTATGTCATTGTATGTCTTTATGTGGATGATATGCTCATCATAGGTAGTAATAATGATATGATTAAAACTACCAAGAAAATGTTGAATAAACATTTTGACATAAAGGACATGGGCATTGCTGATGTAATTCTTGGTATAAAAATTACTAAAACATCAGAAGGTTATGCTTTGTCACAATCTCATTACATTGAGAAAATACTTGACAAATTCAACAAAGATGATGATCATCTTGTTAGAACACCTGTAGATGTTAATTTGTATCTTTTTAAGAATGTACAGGAAAGTATTTCTCAATTAGAGTATGCCCAAATTATTGGAAGCTTAATGTACTTGATGAATTGCACTCGCCAGATATAGCTTATGCAGTAAGTAAATTAAGTAGATATACGAGTAATCCGGGAGTAGAACACTGGAAAGCAATTATAAGGGTTCTAAGATATCTCCGATTTACTCGTAATATTGGGTTGAATTATACTAGATATCCAGCAGTACTTGAAGGATACTGTGATGCAAATTGGATATCGGATACAAGAGACTCAAAGTCTACCAGTGGGTATGTCTTTACTCTTGGTGGGGCAACTGTATCTTGGAAATCTTCCAAACAGACTTGTATTGCTAGGTCTATTATGGAATTTGAATTCATAGCCTTAGACAAAGCAAAGAAAGAGGCAGAATGGTTTCGTCACTTCCTTGAAGATATTCCAATATGGTCAAAACCGATGCCTGCTATATGCATACATTGTGATAGTCAATCAGCTATAGGTAGAGCACAGAGTCATATGTATAACGGTAAGTCACGACACATTCGTCATCGACATAACACCATAAGACAACTACTTTCTAATGGAATTATTTACATAGAATATGTTGAGTCTAAAAACAACATAGCGGATCCACTAACCAAAGGGTTAGCAAGAGAGTTAGTTGAGAATTCGTCGAGGGGAATGGGACTTAAGCCTATTAAATAAGAGTTACCACAACGGCAATCCAACCTAGTTGACTGGAGATCCCAAGATCTAGGTTCAAAGGGGCAACCGAGTTGTGATTGACTCAGAAGGATCACTGGGGAGTCTAATTCCTACCCATTTCTTTGATGAAATAGTGATGTCTGCAGCATTTGAGGTTAAGTAAAATTTTAATGATTCTTATATCTAGGTAAACCTAATGGAGTATGGCAGGATACTTTTCATAAGAATCACCTATGTGAGTATGAACTGGGCTGGTTCTATAAGATTTATGAAGGGCTACAAGTCTTTAGAGCACTCATGAAAGACCAGGTTGTTCAAGGCCAAAATGAACACAATAGAACTAAACTATGTCTAGGAATATACTGTGTGAGTTCTATTGTCTTGGTTTACACGAACGGCTGAACAGTTCAAGACATCATGTTCATTGGTTAGCTAGTAAATCCGATAGTGTCTCACAAGGGAAGGTTCAAAGCCAAAAGCTACCTATCATTTGCAGAATATTTTCAATTTCTGTACTCTCTGTATTTAGATCATGTTGTTGCATTTTCTCTCCGTCAAATTCTATTCATGTGGGGGATTGTTGGAAAAATAGTTAATATAGGCATATTTTGGGCCGACTTTGAGCCCAAAATTGAATGGGCCCCGAACGTTTTTTGGGGCAGGTCCGAAGAGGTGAAGTGTTCCTTGCCGCGTGACAAGTCACACGGTGAAGACGGTTTATCAAAACCATTTATGAGTGAATGGGAACATGACGTCGTTTTCGAGTTCGTGGAATTGAACATTGAAGTTTTGAATGTGGGTTTCCTTGTGAGGCTTGTCCCAGATTGAAACCTGAAGAGAGTTTTGTTGAGTTTATAAGCTCTAGCCTGCAATACTTGGGTTGGGCCCCAAGGGGCACCCTAAGTTTGTAGAATGGGGGAGTTATGAACAAAGTGAACCTTAGCCCAAACCACCACACGCGCGCGCGCGCCGCCGCCGTCCGTTCGACCAAGCCGAGCCGTGCCGGGCGCGGGTGTGGGTCGGGTCGGTTCTTGTATTAATTTTTTGGACAAAATTCATTTTAATTTTTTCAAAATAATATTGCGAGAATTTAATTCAAATTTGAATTCTAATTTTTTGTCCAACATTTAAGACAACTTATGTCCGAAATTCCTCAACAAATTTAAACTGGTTTTCAGTTATTTAACTTCCAGAAACTGCCCAGCAGTTCCGGGTATAACTGTCCAGCAGTTTATCTGTTGAAACAGTTTGCAAATCTGTTTGAATTCAAACAGCACTTGTTCAATTCAAATACCCATCTGTTCAGCTCAAAATTCTGCACCTGTTCGGCTCTATATATACCAGCACTGTCCGGCATGTTTTCCAATCCGAAAATCAGTCTGAATTTGGTCTCTTTGCTGTTCATTTTGCTCTACTGCATTTACTCTTCATTTATTAGTTATACAATAATATTAAGAGAGTATAGAACACAAGGTTTGGTTCGCCGTAAAAATTTGTGTGGAGTGCTACTACAAGTTTTTGAAGATCATTGTATCCTGGGAGATAGACGCCACTCAACCGTAAGCACCGTAGCGGGGCGAATCTGTCTTAAGGACAGAGTGTCACACACTCGACTTGGTCTTTTATTTTTGATTCGGTTCGATAAATAAATTCGGTATGTTATTTATTTATTTTGTTTGAATTAGTTTCAATTTATTTTATTTACACAGAAGATTGTTCCAACAATACCAACTGTGATACATATCTTTGAATCCTCTCTTCTTTTTTCTTTTTTAGTTCATACAAACAAGCATGATTCAGATATGCATTATGGCTAAAGTTTCTTGCTTCCTCTACCGCAGTGTGCAGATAACCGGCCCAAGCTAATTGTTGGGTCACTTGTGGATGGGAAGCCAAGAGAAGCTAGGATGAATCACCCAAAAGGGATTACTGTCAATCAACCACAAAAATATCTACATTGCTTACACTCTGAATATGGCCATCAGGAAGATCAGTGATGCAGGTAAAGTAGAGTTTTTGCTTAAAAACAACCCAACCTTGGTAACAGAACTGTTATGGAAAATGAGAAATTGAGAAAAATTCACTATAATGTGGATATTACAATTAGTCAACTCTTTTTCAACAACCCCATGTTACAGAACCTCTCAAGATCCAAAAACCCTAGAACCATGAAATAATCCCTCAAATACAAAGATCCTAAAAACATCAAACTTGGACAAAATAGATCCAAATACAAATGTTGGGTAGGACCCATTGAGTCAAAAGTATTTGGTCAGATCTATCAAGGAAACCTCAAATGTTGGGTAAAACTCAATTGTTACAAACTTCAAATCTCATCCTTATTACCATTTCTTCACAGTTAAGATCATAGATATTTAATTGAGAAAATTCACTTTTGCAGGGATAATAGTACTTGTTACAGCCGGGTTCTTTGGTTACAAAACACCATAAACCAAGGAAAGTAACTCTGTATTGGATGCATTATACATGTGGGATTCTTGGTTTCTCGGTCTGTTCAATTTGGGTCTTGAAGCATAGTAGATTGATGGGAAGCTCTGACATTAACAACTAGATTCGTGAGGTAAAGGACTCGACTATTAGCTTTTGGAATTTTCTTGGGTTTGATTGTTTAATTCTTCTTTAGATTCAATTCCCACTTCTTTTTCCTTTCCAACCTTGAAGGCTTTTTAGTCTATTGTATTGGTTTCAAATTTTTGTTAATTAGAATCTCTTGGTAAGGACAAATCAAAGGTAGAACAAGTAAGAATATGTATCATTGAAATTACTTATAAAAATATATATATATATATATCATTGAAATTGAGAAAAGGAACATGAAATACCAGCTGTGATACATATCTTTGAATCCTCTCTTCTTTTTTCTTTTTTAGTTCATACAAACAAGCATGATTCAGATATGCATTATGGCTAAAGTTTCTTGCTTCCTCTACTGCAGTGTGCAGATAACCGGCCCAAGCTAATTGCTGGGTCACTTGTGGATGGGAAGCCAAGAGAAGCTAGGATGAATCACCCAAAAGGGATTACTGTCAATCAACCACAAAAATATCTATATTGCTTACACTCTGAATATGGCCATCAGGAAGATCAGTGATGCAGGTAAAGTAGAGTTTTTGCTTAAAAACAGCCCAACCTTGGTAATAGAACTGTTACGGAAAATGAGAAATTGAGAAAAATTCACTATAATGTGGATATTACAATTAGTCAACTTTTTTTCAACAACCCCATGTTACAGAACCTCTCAAGATCCAAAAACCCTAGAACCATGAAATAATCCCTCAAATACAAAGATCCTAAAAACATCAAACTTGGACAAAATAGATCCAAATACAAATGTTGGGTAGGACCCATTGAGTCAAAAGTATTTGGTCAGATCTATCAAGGAAACCTCAAATGTTGGGTAAAACTCAATTGTTACAAACTTCAAATCTCATCCTTATTACCATTTCTTCACAGTTAAGATCATAGATATTTAATTGAGAAAATTCACTTTTGCAGGGATAATAGTACTTGTTACAGCCGGGTTCTTTGGTTACAAAACACCATAAACCAAGGAAAGTAACTCTGTATTGGATGCATTATACATGTGGGATTCTTGGTTTCTCGGTCTGTTCAATTTGGGTCTTGAAGCATAGTAGATTGATGGGAAGCTCTGACATTAACAACTAGATTCGTGAGGTAAAGGACTCGACTATTAGCTTTTGGAATGACCATGTAGAGCGACTGGTATAAACTTTTTGGATAGTCTAAATTTTTTGTATATTTTAAAACTTAAGGATATAGTTTTCGAATGTTTTGAATGTATAGACAATTGTTGAATGTTTATAATTTATGGATATAGTGTCTTTTTTTATGTTTCAAATAATATTTTCGTGGTTGATTGATTTTTGTGATGCTTGTTTGTAATATTTGTTAGATTATACAAAATTGGTCAAATAGAACCTGTTGAAAAAAAGAAAAAAAAAATGCATATTATACAGTAGGCATAATAAGTCGTCGTATTACATATTTTATGGCGCGCAATTAGCGTCATTATTTGTTTCGCCAATTAACAGCGTACAAAAGTAATCGTAGAAAAAGTAACGACACCGCACAAAATTTGCCGTTAAATAGTTTTTAACGACGTACTATAACATGTCGTAGAAAAAGTAACAACGACGCACAAAATCCACCGTTAAATAGTTTTTAACGGCGTACGAAGCATGTCGTTGAAAGTGAATGAATTTTCATGATTGGTCATAATATGACGGGCGCTGCACGTCGTAGAAGGGTTTTTACGGCATGCATTGCGCCCCGTAAAAACCCTTTTTTGTTGTAGTGGTTCTAAATCCATCAGATACCCTCACCAACTTGTAGTACCCGTTGCTACTTGCCTCAGCAACTTCGTAAGGGCCTTCCTATCTTGGCGAGACCTTGGAGATTAGTTGCCCCTGCATGATTGTATACGCTGTTTTCCACACAAGGTCCCATTCTTTGAACACTTTGTTCTTGACAGATTGATTGTAGGCAAGCTATGGACTGAAGGTATTTTTCCATTACCCATGAGGGTCGATCTCTTTTTTCTTCGGCTGCCTCTATGTCACTTCTTTCAGTATCTGGAACCAAGTGTGCTGACATAACCATTCTTACTGAAAGTACTGCTAACTAAATTGGTGGCATAACTTCGGACCCATACACAAAGGAAAATAGGGTTGCCTGGGTTGGCTTCCTCTTCGATGTTTTGTATACCCAAAGTGCTATGGGGATTTGTTTAGACATCCATCATCTTACTCAATATTCAAATAAGGGTCTTGTTAGTTGCCTCGGCTTGTCCATTCCCTTGGGGGTGATATGGAGTGGACTTGTGGTGCTTGATTCGATAAGTGTCTAGTAGCCTTCCACACAGCGGTTTACAAAAGGAGTTTCATTGTCGGGCAACACCACTTTAGGTATGCCAACCTACAAATGATGTTTTTTTTTTTGACGAATTTGGCTACTTTCACTCTATCCGCCTTTTTTATTGGTATGGCCTCTACTCATTTGGTGCTGACTTCAATCGCTGCAAGTATCCATCGATGGCCTTTGGACTGTTATGCCATAGGGCCTATCAAGTCAAACACCCAAGTATGGAACAGGTAGGGTGTCTTAACATTGTGTTGCTCAACTGCCGTCGCATGTATTAGATTCCCAAACTTTTGACAAGACTGGCACCTCCTTACAAAGTTCTTAGCATCCTCCTCCATCATCGACCAGCAGTTGCAGAGGTAAATAAGGTGCTCATACAGTCGTTGTCCTCCTTGATGCTATACTTTGTGGGCTTCTTTTAGCATTTCATTTGCCTTATCTTTGGACAAACATGCTAAAAATTCCCCTTCAAAGCTTCTTCGGTACAGCTTTCCTTGGTCAAGAAATAAGCGGAGGGCCCGCCTTGTAACTCTGATTGTGTCAGTTCTGTTCTTAGGCAGTGTGCCATTTCAAGAAAGCAAATGTATGGCTGTCTCCATTCCTCAGTGCTTACGAAATGAACTTCTTCTTCTTTAGGATAAGATTGGCACTTGGCACATTGCCTCTGCAACTCAGTGCTTTCCTTTTTCATCTCTGGCCTGCATCCATTGGTATAGACTGATATCTCCATTTCCACAAGACTTAGCATAGATCTGCTTAAGTCTGTAAGTTGCCTCTTGCCTACCGATGCACTTTGCAAACAAGTTGTTAGGGTGATGAAAGCATAACTCTCCTCTGAGGAGTAGGAATGATGCAAGTTCTGCTGGTTTCATAGCTTCTTGGCCTGTTTTCAGCTATTGGATTATATCTTATTTCCACCCCTCAACATTTTGCTCTACATGTCTCTCAACTAACATTGATGATGTTGTTTTTTTCTCGATAACAATGGCTATACTATCATCTAGTATATCCACCTTTGTCCCCAATGTAGCTAGGGTATCGGGAAAATGATTATGTGTTTGAGGGGTATGCTGGATCTAGACATCATCAAACTAAGTAAGCAACTTCTGAATTATGGTGCAGTATGGGGCCAAAAGAGGCTCCTTCAAGGCAAAATGACCACGTGTTTACTTCACAACCAGCTTAGAGTCATCCCAAATTTTCAACTTACGATGGCCTTTTTTTTGGGAAGCAATCAGGCCAAGTATCATGCCTCATACTCAGCCTCGTTATTCGAACATTCAAAGTCAAGCTTGTCTGATAAGTGAAACTTCTCTCCATCTTGACTTGTCAGTTATACCAGTACAACTAGTAGACACGCCATTTTTGACCACCCTTATGACTTGGACGTCACCGCTTGCGCACCCAATGGTGAATTTGTATATGCTTGTCAAGTATTCGAAGTCCGTAGTAGAATGCCACAGCTTTAAGCCTTCAAACCCTACACACCTTTTGCCTTGTTTTGGACCAAAACCACAGTTTTTCAAACCTACAAACCCTGGGACTTGCAGGCCCACTAGTGTGGGTTGCTGGCCATTTGTGTGGCCTGCCGGCCACTTGTGTGTTTTTGCAGATATTTATGTCAGTTGTCCCAGTTGTTTCCACAGGTGCATGCATCTACTCACACGTGTATGTATGGATATTTCTGAGGGAGTTTCATGTTTTTCTATAAATAAAAGACCTCCCCTTCCATTTTTGGGGGTTGGAAAATTTGGAGCAAAAATATTTCTAAGCGTTGGTTTGTCACTTAGAAAGGGTTCTCCTCTTCAAGGGGTACAAGTCTTGGTTTGTTTCTTTGATTTATTTTCTATTTTTCCTATTGTTTTTGAATTGTTTTTAGACTGTTTATACTCTGTATTTTTGGACTGAAACTTGTGGTTTAAGGCCATTTAGGGTGGAGGGGTGGATCACCTGTCCTTGCACCTAACTTCTCAAGCCTTTGCCCTTGTGTTTTCCACCTTTTTGTCAACTTTTTTTGAGCATTTTAATACTGAATCTCAAAAGTTTTTTAGAGGCTAAAACCATGTTTTGAACTCCCAAAAATGGAGGAGGTAGTCTCTCCTTCTTGTGCTTGTTTACTAACTTAATTTGCTCTATGTTGTAGCTTACTCTTTTAGCTCTTTTGCCTTTAATTCTAGCACTGTTTTTAGGTGTTTTAAGACTGTTTTAGTGTGCCTATTCAATTTGTGCCTTGTATTGCATACTTGTAGTGTAATGGTCCTCATAGGCTTAGTGGTTTAGGCCTTAGCCACCAACCTATTCGAGTCGATAGTGTTTATTTCTTGCTTTCCATACTTGTATTCATATCTAATCATCTCAGCAACCTCCCTCATTTCTTGGCTTTTTCTTTGTTTTGAAAGTTGTTTCAAACTAATTGCTTGTTTAAGCTTGAGATTGAGGTTGATGTGCTTAATGGTTTAATCATTTTGGAAGCTCATTACCAAAGACATGATATCTGTCTTATGCCTAAAACAACTCTTGGTTTGGTACTTCTTTCCATTAGAGGACTTAATCTTCACTTTTGGACTTAATCAACTAAGGAATGGATGTTAATTAAAATGAAATAATAAAATTGGGACTAAAAGTGATGTAAGATAAAATCAACTTGGGTTCAATCAGACGTTAATTGAACCCATTGAGTTTTGAGTCGTTTCATACTCGTTAGTGATATAAACGATTCAAGAGTCAATGTCAACCATTTCCCTTGATCAATCCATGATAGGGAGGAGGTTTTTGTTGGTCTTTTGTTATGCATTTATTGAATTGTGTCCCTTGGTTCATAAGTTGTCACACAATGAAATTGCATCGATTGATGGCTTGCGAACCAAACCTACCCCTTCTTTGACCTATTTGTTGATAAGGAGAGGCAAGGTGGACAAACATACCTTGAGAATACTCTGTTTGTGCTCTGTATGCTTTCTGTTGCAGCAAGAGGAACCAGGCTTTAGTGGCTGGCAGGCCACTTTTTCTGGCTGGCAGGCCACTTCTTTTGGATGGCAGGCTACCTTTTGTGGCCTGCCAGGTAGGCCACCACTTCTGGCCTACTGTCCACTTTGGTCAAATTGAGCAACAAATTTTTGGAACAGAACAGAGTAGAGACTGAGGTGAAAAGATGTTCAATCTGTGCAACATAGGCATTCTGGCAGCAAAACAGTGGGCTTTTCGGGTGCAAATCCACACGTGCATGAGCATTCCTCACTTCCCGGGGCTGATTAGTTAGCTTAGTTACTTCTTTCATGTTGTAATTAATTAGTTAATTCTAATTTATAATTTATTAATTAGTGTAATTAATTAGTTAGTTCCATAGAATAGTTAATTAATTAATTGGTTTTGTAATAGCTAGCTAGCATAGTTAGTTTATTCGGTTTGTAATAATTAGTTAGTTCATCTTGTAATAGCTAGTTAATTAGCTTAGCTAGTTAGTTTATTCAGACCCTCCTGCGCGAGGGCACAGTTGTAATAATGTGTATGTCTTCCAATCCCAAGTCTTTCTCCCTTTTATTTACTCGCTTGTGATGGTTAGTTTAGAACATCATGTTTCTTTTAACATACTCCATGTTTGCATCCACTTGTCTTGCATGCACGAGGTTCGGCTCATCATTCTAACTTGCATTATAGTTAAACATTCTTTGAATACGTGCTTAGACCGCATGCTATCAAATTGATTCATATACCATATTAGTAGCCGAGCCTAGTAATTGCATATTGTATGCGTTACATCAATCATATTACATAGTTAGAATCATGCATTATTCTAACTCAGTCATCTTTTTTGGCTTGGAGTACTAGGTGAGGTTTTATTTGTTTTAGCATATCGCATGAGTGTGTTTGTTACCATGTCAAAGCATGTTCACCATGAGGCTAAGTGCTTAAGTGATAAATTGTTTAAATGCCTGCGGATGAAGGCTAGTTG